AGCACAGAGCACGTGCTGTAGCTCATCTGCACATTCTAAATAACAGCCAAAGCCTTGTTGTGCAACAGCCGCGAAATGGTCCATTAGGAGGTCTTTTAATAGGCCATATGTGAGCAGCACTTGGACAGATGGAAAAACTCCCTCTTGACCAATACTGTATTTTAAGCACCCTTAATCTGCAGGGACATTGCTACTTGAATGGAATACTGGGCACCTTGAAGAATGCAATAAACCCAAACAAAGCTCTCTGGTTTAGCCTCTATACGTTATCTGAGACATGAAAGGGTGAGAGAAAGGGTAAAAAAAAATCATAGTTCTGGTATAAAATCCTCAAATGTCCCACCTGCCTGTGCTGATGGAGTGGTTACTTCACACCTAAAGCCCAGGCCAGCTTTTTCCCAACTCAGTTCAGAGGCAGGTGGAGGAAATGTGGCTGCTCAAAGATGGTGAAGAATGATGAAATACTGTAAATCTGGATCAGGGACTTGTCTCCTCATTGCTGGGGTGCACAGACCGGGGTGGGGCTGCCCAAGACAGGGGTTTCACCCAGGGTGGTTCCTCCCTGTGAAGGAGCAAAATGGTCAGATGTGCCTCCTTCTCTTCACGGGTTGTAGAAGATGCTTTGCTTAGAAGCTGCTGAGATATCTCAGTTCAGGTGAGGGGAGTCCCCACAGCTGCTGGGCAGGACCCAGGGCTAACTCCTGGGGGCTGGGGGGGCAGTTGCCCCCATCACTGGCACTGGGCATCACAGGGTGGCAGCCAGGCCTTTTCCTTCCCAGCAGCTGAGTGCAACCCATTTATTTTCACCCAAATCAGCCTAATCGCATCCATATTTATTGCCTGCTGTTGTGTTACAGGTAGGTAACACCTCCTTAGCTGCTTCAGATCCTAGGGGGCTACCAATACCATGCTGCTGTTGCTGTGGTTTCTCCATGATCTCTGCACTCCTCGGGCTTCTGCCACTTCTATCTCTTAGGGTTAAAGAGATCTTCAGACTTCTTAATATCAAAAGAAACAGTATCAGTGGGAAGTCTGCTTGCTGAGCATGGTTCAGATCAAACCGTGTTCTCAAAGGCTCCTGGAAGGGTTCAGGGCTGTGAGCCCCAGACAGCAGGAGCATCGCTTTGCCTGCGCTGGGAGTTGTTTGCAGGAGGGGAAGGAAGTATCGGCTGCAGAACCAGAGTTTGTAATTCACCTCGCTGCCCCAGCCGGAGGAGAGTTTAGTCCCCTCTTCTCAGAGCTGCACACAGAAACAATATTTGCTGATATTGGCTTACCATCCCAAGGGGGGAAATTACTATGAAATGTTTACAGGGACCATTTGAAACTTGAGAAGAGGATGTTTTTAGTAGTGGGGAAAGAGCCAAATACCTTAGAAGAGAAATATTCCAGCTTTAAGAATTAATTACCACTTCCCAGTAATGCAGGTTGACTATTAAATAACCTTGCGCAATTTCCTGGACAGATACATTTTAATGGCAATATTGTGCACAGATCAAAAGCAAAATACAGTTCACTGAACTGTGACTGTGCAAGCTCAGGCACATGGGCAGATGCCTTTGTCTAAACACTTATCGAGCAAAGCCCAGAGGATGAGACATGGGGCTAAAGCAGCCACCTATACACAGCAGCTCACACCATGAGGGCCTCTGGGTGAGGATTTCTCCTATGGATGGTTATTTTCAGTCCAGGAAGGAAAGCATGGATAGTAAACAACCAAGTGCCTTTTTAAAAACCGCAGCTGTGACATCTATGGAGCTCTACAGTCATTATGCAAACTTTACTACATAGCTTTTTAGTTGTAAATCGAGTATCATAGGCTAGTGAAATGGATGCTCAATTTCTGTATCCTAGTTTTTCTTTTGGTAGTGTGGGAAGATAGGATATAACTGGTTATGCTCCACAACGTACACTGGCATAACAAGTCACAGTACGTATTTATGCTTCTTTCAGTCAAGAGCATCAAGCAATGAATGTAGTAAGAAAACCTCATAAATCAGTTATCTGAAAACCGTTTTCAGTAAAAAGGCATTGCTTTCTTCTTCTTTTTACATAGGCGGAAAGAGGAGAGCAGTGGAAGAGCAAGTCTGAGAATCAATGGGGTTTTCTGGAAGTCTGAATTGTCGCTAATTACCCAAAATCCAAGCTGAGCTGCTGTTTTGTGAGCCATGCTCTAACTCATAAGAAGCTTTTCAGGGACATAACTCTGAAGGTTTCTCAGGAAGACAGCTTTTTGGAGGATTGCATGGTACCTCGGTGAGTGATGCAGTGACAGCGTCACCCCAGGAGATATTGCTCCTAGAAGGACAACTGGCTTCGGATCCTGGCTTTAGGAGCATCTGAAGAGATCCTGTTGTCTTACTGGTGTGAATAGCCAACCATTACGTGCCAAGTGCAACAACTGCTGCAAAAGGTCAACTTTCCCTAAAGGATTTTATTCTGAACCTATTCAGACCTTCCTAAATAAACAGCAGCCTCACCAAAAGCTATTGAAGTCCCACAGGACTAAAATTGTTTTATAGGATGTCCAGGCGTGGGGTGCAGATTTGTTTCTAGTCATCTGTCCATCCAAGCCTCGACCACTTTTGCTCCCTGTCTGAAGATGGAACCCAGCTCTTACACATGATGTGAACGTGGTCCTTCTTGTCCGCAGTCCATCTTGTCCACAGTCCTTCATCCGAACAAACCACAGAAATACAGCATGGACCTGTGGCAGTGACCATTGTATGTGCTGATAGCCTGCGCGCTGCCAGGAGGCAGCAAGGAAGCAGCCTGGGTCCAGGCTGCTCGAGCAGGGCAGAAAGCAAGGGGACATCCATAAAGCCTTTTGAAGAACATATCCCTATCTTTGTCTAGGGATCTGCAGCTCCTGAACTGAAGCACATGGAACAGGTTGATGGCAGCAGCTATTTTAAAATTCATGAAGTCTTAAAGCATTACCAGATGATTTCAGTGCTGGGAGATAACTAGACAAAATGGCCCAACAGGAGGGAGATGCTGATGTAGTAGCAGCCATAATAGTGCATGATGCCGCACACGTCCCTGCTTCTGAAAACCTACTCATCCGTCTTGTCAGGGGAAATTGCTGTGATTCTGTTTCATAGCAGAGGTGGTGGGAGGAAGGAGGCAGACGCATATTTTCCTCTGATCAAGGAGAAAGGCCAGGCTGTGCTCCACTTACTTTCCTGAAGCCACCCTGGCCTCCGGGTGAAAGGCTTAGAGACCGGTGATGGCAAGTATTTGGTAGGGAGGGTGCAAGTGGCCGTGGTCCAAGAGAAACAAGGCTTTGGGGTTCCTCTGCTAGCACTTGAGAGATGGCTTTCCCTCCCTGCCCCAGTGTGCTCCTCTTTGTCTGCTCGCCCAGGACTGAAGAAAATGCCAGGGCACCTTCTGGCTGAAGGTAAATCTGTGCCAGCCAGGGCAAATTCTGGCAAACAGGTTAAATGCCTAATTTATGTATCTGTACCCAAAAGTGTTATCCAGAATGCCCCAGCTCAGCTGCTGCCTTACACTGGAGGCAGGTCGGAACAGCCCTCCCTCCCTGCCATGGGTATGCTTTAGCCAGTGAGATTCCCCATTACATCCCCGAGGGGCCTCATCCCGCTCCCAGCATGCGGCTGAGCCAGCCTAACAGTGTGGGGAGGGGATGGGATGGGAGGGTTTGCACCTCCACCTGAATGTGGGTGCCTACATAACGAGGGGCATCTCTTTAGGTTCTCCCCATAGGAGAGAAATCAGAATTGCCCTCCTGCCCATCTCTCCCCCTCGTGTGCCTGGCAGCCTCCTGCCCAAACTCTCCCCCTGTACCACCATACAGCCAGGACAGCTGCCAGTGGCTTCTAAAGGCTCACAGGGGGGCAGCGGGAGGCAACCAGAGGTTGGTGCCTACTGGTTTTCTTCACCAATGGCCTTTGATGATCATGGTGAGATGCAGAGAGGTCCAGTACAGGTTACCTGCCCTTTTAGCGTATTTTGTGCCCATGTATGAACTGGATACCTTTAGCAACTTGCTCAGTGAAAATCTGTACTGGATGCGTGAGTAGGAAATCAAGCTTTGTCATTTCCAAAGACAAAAGCTACAGTTTAAAGAATTACCAAAACCGTATCATAGTGGTAATTTCTCTTGGAAACAATGTTATCCCTGATTCAGGAATGTGAAATGCTGTATAAATATCCCACTTGTGATTTTTCAAATTCCCCTCCAAATTTCCCCATGGATGCGTGGCCTGTGTGGTGAGTTCGAGTCTGCCAGGGATGTGCTCATGCTCATCAACCCTGTCCCCCTGCTCGCCTTGAGTCCCCAGCCCAGTGTCCTGGGTCTGGTAGAGCAACTCTCAGTGAAGAAATATTTAAAATGTGTTTTAAACAGTACTTCTATTTGTCCAGGCTGTCACCGTGCTTTTGCACTTCCATTAATTCAAGAGTTTTGGACCCAGTTTGCAGTCCCAGTTTCAGTCTGGTCCTGCAGGTCTGGAGCTGCCTCCCTTCAGCTCTCCCGCTCCCTTTGGTAGGGCAGCACTGGGCCTTCAAAGAGGAGATATACAGGTAACATGCCTGGACTGATATTGTGCACCTGGCCCTGGATGGGGAATAGTGCTGCTGGCATCCCACACCCCTACCCAGTGCTAAAATGGGCCTCTGGTGCTTCCTTACAGAGCATCATCTTGCTCAGTCACCCTTCCCTCGATTGCCACCATCGTGAAGACTTTCATCTGCAGATCAGGAGGGGAAGTGTCCCAGAAAGTTTCAAGTCCCAGGGGTCAGAAACAACAGATACTGCCCACTAACTACAAGGGACTTCTGCAGCAGTTACCTGCCTTTCCTAACAAAGGCAAGAAGAAAAGGGTCTTTGGACTTAACCTATGAAAATAAAATAATAAGAAAACCTATCTTATTGGAGTTGTGCGTGAGCAGGAACAGCAAGTTTCCCTCTGTACAGATTACTCCACTTCCACACTTTCTACTCAGCATGGAGCAGAGCTTTATTTTTTTTAACCAACACAATGCACATACTTCAGAGGCATATTTGAAGTGCAAAACCCACGTTCCGTGCTTAGACATCCAGCAAACAGTTAGTAAAAACCATTCTAGTATGGTGTAGAGCTTATGTGAAGTAAGAGTGAGAAGTCTAACCTGTTTCCAATGGCTACAAAATTGCCCTGCGGAAGATAAAGATGTGATTCTTTTTAAGTGTAGCTATTTTCTGTTAAGGGAACCTACGCATCAGTCCTTCCTACCACACGTCTTCAGGGAAAGCAACAACCATCCCACACGCTCCTCTGCTGCGGATTGCTCAGCGCTTTGTCCCACGGTAATCTGTAGGAGAAACTCAGCCCTCCTGTTAAATGCTTGGGGCCTGAAAGATTAATTCTGTGGGATAGATCTCTAAAGCAAGTGGTGCAGCACATCAGAAATTGGAACTCATTCCTAACAGCTTATCATCACTCAGGCGATTACAGGTGCAAGCAAAACAGCAATCTTTGAGGGAGAACAGAGATCCTATCATAATCAGAATTCTTACAGATAGTTTTATATTTTCATGTTTAATAGAGCTTTTTTTTCCCTCTCCATATAAAGCTTTCCATCAAAGGCTTTCCAAGCATTTTATAAAGGCAGGTGAGTATTATATCATCATCACTCCCATTTTACAAACAGGAAACGGAGGCCCCAAAAAAGTCATTTGAGCAGCCTAAAACAGCAAATCCCAGCCCAAAACAGAAATGGAATCAAAGTCTCCTGGCAAAAATCCCTTCCTCCAACTACCACTATTTAGTTGCTATGCAGCATTTTTTTTTTTTTTTTTTTAAAAATAACCCAACCAGTCAAACAAGAGAGAACGGCAAGGAAATCACGAGCTTCGACATACTTACTTCCATACTGCTGGCATTAGTACAAAAATAAAGATTTTTGTTAACTAGTTTACAAAAACAAAGTCTGTTGAGTCACGCAGGATCTCATTGGGGGGTTCATTTGACTTTGGAAGATAAAGCCTGTTTGAAACGTCTCTTTAGATCTTGCATGTTGGGAGATTTGGGCCGAGGGATGATGGACGACCGCCTCCTGTCCGTGCTGCCAGCGTGCTGTAGTTTGCTGACCTCCTTGCAAAGGTAATGGAAAACATCACAGACGCCTTGGGAGTCGTCACTCGTGGAGATTTCCAAGAACAGGCTGCCCAGTTCATTTGCCAGCTGTGGTCCCTCTTTCGCCTGTACTTGCCTGGCGTGGAGGAGGTCTGCTTTGTTCCCCACGATAATGATGGGAGTCCTGGCATCTGGGTGGACCTTGCGTATGTGCTGGTAGAGAGGTCGGACTGACTGGTAGCTGCTGTAGTCTGTGATGGAGTAGACCAGGAGGAAGCCCTCTGCCCACTTCACACACCTGGACAGGGAGTCCAGCACCTGCACGCAGTCTTCCTGCATCTGTGGTACGACAGAGAGCACAAATTTGGCTTTGGGTCGTGAAAGTATAAAGCCTGTACCATAGATAGCACCGTTAAACAGGTCCAAATGGAAGCCTGAGCTCTGTCTCAGAAAACTGAGCCAGGCCTTGTATGAAACTGGGGCTCAAAAGCTGAGCCTTTAGGTGGCAGAGAAGAACCGATCGATCCGAAGCATCTCCGTACCTGGATGCACCCCGGCGTGTCTTGGATCTGCACGGCAACGTGGTCCCCGTCCAGATGGACCAGCCTGGAGTAGAGGTTGCCTGGGGAGCAGAGAGCCGTCAGGCACAAGCCGCGGCCGCGGGGGTCCCCGCCGCGCCCCGCCGCCCGCCGCCTCACCTGTGTTGGGCTCGTAGTCCCCGATGAACCGCTTCGTCAGGAACCGCACGATCATGGCTGAAACACAGAGCGGTCGCGTTAGGGGAGACGGACGGACGGTCGGACGGGG